CACAATTCAAACAAAATTGACAACTGTGAAGCAGCATAAATCTGTGTGCTCACTTTGGAGACCCTGCACCTTGTTACCTTTCTGTCGTGATAGGATATGAGGAAAAATTAGGGACACATCTGGAAGAAGACATAGAAATGACAGGAAAGAGAAGTAAAGGAGCCAGCAGCAGGCAAAGAGGCTTACCAAGTAGTCACATCTTGGAGGGTCTCTCTGAGGCCACTTCGCTTGGTGTTTGTACAACTTGAATTGCCTTCCTGAGCCATAGTCCCATTTCTCTCTCCAGATGTTTGTATCTCTGTTGTCCTTATATACACCAGCTTATCAGTTTTGTTTAGTTTTCTTACAAAAAAGTGAAATAAAACTTAAAAGAAAGGAGAACATCTATCAGTACATAAAGTGCTTCAGGCAGATTTTCATCTGGAAAAATATTAAGGAATGAAAAGGAATGTATAAGTGAGCTACTATAAACAACAATAAAATGTAGTGATAAAAAGTACATGTAAAATAGAGCTGAGCCGATCAGCAGAAAGCCCACAGGTTGCTCCTGCAGCACACAAATGTCCAGCCTGACATTTGAATGCCCAAAATGTCTGTATCCTTTGCTTCCTCAGTGCACTGTGAACAGCATTCTTTAACAGTTACTCTAATAAATGGTTTGAGAGAAACACCCTTGTATTTTCCATTGATATGCAAAATGTTTCCTAAGAGAAAATAAATAAATCAAGCATGAATAAATTTAGGCTGCTAGATTGTGACATTCTTTAAAAGTGAAAATCTGGGCCAAGAGTCAGCTAATGCAACAAATATATCTCCTGAAAAAAAGCAGCCCAACCAAAACCTACCAACTCTGAAAGAAAAGGTATGATACAGAAAATAGTCATAGAAATTGTTCTTATTATTTCATTGTATAACTGGCTCCAAAAGGGATCCATTAACATCAGAGCTGAACCTTAACTGTGTCAATCTGTGTCAATTAGTGGCTTCTTAAAACATCCTTACAAGTTAGTGTTGCTGACTCTGTTCCACAAATGATGTTTAAGAAGAACATAAGATGTATAAAAGAACATAAAGAGTGCATTTCCCCTTAAATTGTGTCCCCTTATCTGCATCAACAATCCATTTCAAGTAGGAGCAGAAAGAGAAAAAAGAAAAAAAAAAAAAAAATAAACAGAAATAGCAGGTTGTTCTAAAACCTCTCACCCCTTTCAAAGTTGAGAAACAGGTCAGGAGGCAACACGGACCAGGCTAAAAAGGAAGTCTAGCTCTGCTTACTTTCTTCATGGAGATAGAAAGAATTTGCTCAGCAGTTGTGTTAGGTTGCAGGGTTAAGCCAGGCTCCATCCTCTTGGCCATGGCTTCCTGCCTGTGGTGAAACTGCAAGCAAGTTGGTATTTATTTGCTTTGAATTGGTATCCTACACATGTGGTTTCACTGTAAATGAAGGCTCTCTCTGTGACTGCTGATGTGGTCTTTCCCTTTCTGCTTCTATGGCCCTTCTTTTGTGGAGGGATTTGGGCAGAACAGCCCTCATTTGGCAGTAGTTGCTGCCGGACCCCACCCTGTGCATGGACACACCTTCTGCCCTAATAAAAGGGTCGTATTGCAGAAGAGTAATGTGTCCTTCTGCAGGATCACCTGAGTTCTTGCTCTCTGGTGCTGTGGTGCTGGGAGCCCTTCTGCGGGGTATGGGTGGGCTTGTGGAGTTTGGTCTCTGATTTCTTGGGGAGCAACTATCTGCTACAGGGCAGCCAGTGAGGGGCGCTGGACTCAGTAATGCCAATGTACTCCTTGATGCTACCCTTGAAGAAATGTGGAAAATCATATCCTTCACATATCAAGAATCAATCTTACTTATATCAAGGTTAATGGCAAATTTAGAGTTTATTTAAGTAGAAAAAAGATCAGGTCATGGGCTGCTAGAATTAGAGCTTGGAGCAGAAAAAGACATTGAAAGTTAAAAAGGTGGTTGTGGTTACATGAATATTTTTCCATTGTTGTGCTGACTGAAACAGCCCTGCAGTCACTTGTTCTTGCCCTATTTGTTACACTGACCCCAGAATTTGTACATGGAGCTAAATTACTTTTCTGTGTGGAAAACAAGGAGTTTTGGTGGGGGTTAATTTGCAAATGCATGTAATCCCTTATGTTGTTCATTCTATGCTCCCACATATGCTTTGCAATCATAACAACTGAGGGTGAAAGGGAACAAGGACAAGTGGCCAGAGACGCTGAGAGTTGCTTAAACTACTTTTAACACCACCTCATTTTACCTTTTTTCTATTTCCATTTTCAGACATGAAATGCAAAAGGAAAACTATATCTCATCTTATCTCATCATTGCCATTGCCCAGTCATCTTCTGTCTTTCAGAGATGGCTCTGGGTGGGAGCGCTGAGGGCCAGTCCATGTAGATGGGGTGACACAACTCTTACCCTAACTGGAAGACAGAAAGTCAGCAAACACCCTCCCAATTGTTCAGACTTGGTGTTCACTGGATAATACGTGAATTAACAGCCCACATCTTATCAGCTGGAGTACAATAGCTGCAAATGTGTGGGTCCTCAAGCAAAAATAAAGTGAGCTGCCTTACTTAAGTCTCTCATGTAGAACCCTGAACTGGGGCAAATTGCCTCAAATTTCTTGGGGCAGACCACTGTGCTGATGCATGGTGACTTGCATCTGAGTCCTTAGTCCAAAAGAAGCACATTAATATTTTAAAGGACTAGCTCTAAATATTAAGGCATTAGTCTATATATTATATATATATATATATTATATATATGTCATCAAGCAACTATAATAGGACATTCCCTTCTGGAAATAATACACTGTAAATGACCATGCTGTACATTTTATTTTCCTTCCAGTTTTGCACCTTTTGCCCAGTAACATTCTTGTTTCTTAACCTTCTTTTAGAAGTGCCATTAATGCCATGGGCCCGTGTACAGCTGCTGTTGCTGCTGTTGGTCCCTCCCCCCAGCTCCTCTGACTTAGCATTTTGTGAAACCACACTTGGCAGGAAACACACTTTTAGAGGGACCAACTGTAATTTAGACAAAAAAGACCATTAGCTGCACTCAGCAGCAATGGCAAGGCTGCTATTTTTCTGCTATGTTAAAACAGACCAAGGCCAGGAAGAAATATATTATTTATGTTCACTAAGTTTTGGATAGACAGCTTTTCAAAACTTTTGCAGCATTTTGTTCAAATAGATGACAGGCTCTGCTGAGAGATCCTGCTCTGTGGCATAAAGTAGTTAACATTTTACAAGGACCAAGCCACAAATCCACAGATGTTTTTGTGAGCGCTTCAAAGGAATATGGAATTTTCTAAAATGGGAAGACCATAGCATGTGGCAACCAACAACACCATGGTCTTTGAATTTGATTCCTTCTCCCTGTAGACTGGATTCCCTCCAGAATTGCCTGTTATCCTCATTAGGACAGAATTACCACTTCCACAGCCAGCCAGCCACACACTCTGGATCTCCTTTTGGATCTCAAACTCAGGAGAAAAGCAGAGGTGGCTTTAGGTGATATATTTACTTCTTGTCAAGGCTGGGGGATATTTCTTTTAAAAGTGCAGAACTCTCTGCAGGTACAGACAAGGTTTCTTGGAATTGTCAAGGTAGACACTTTAAAAAGCTATATGGCTTCTGACAGGAAAAAACAGAAGTTTTCTGTGGGAACAGGGCAGTCAAAAAGTCTATTCAGTCCCTACTACAGCATTAAGGACAGGTCAAGGATAATGAGCTGTGATTTTAAGAGTCATGTGTAAGAGAAAGATGTAGCAATGTGTCATTTCAATCAGTGGGAAGGGTATTTGTCTTGTGCCTTCTCAGGGAGAAATCTGTTTCCTCCTGCAGCACCGTCATCTCCTCACAGCAGTTATTGGTCTGACCTGGCAGGTTCTGCTCTTGTTTCTGGACCTCTGGAGAAGGGTAAAAGCCCACTGTAGCTTTTGATTTGTTGAGATGCCTGGCTGCAAGACAGCAGACTGGGCATTGCAATGCAGTGAAAAAAGCCATCAGCAATTAAGCAGAATATTCATGACAGTGATTGAAGATGACTTTATTTCCTGCTGCCTTTGTTTAAAGAATGTCCTTTCCATATACTCATAATGTACACGACAAATGACTCCATAGCTGTGGGGGAAATACATAATGCTCTCTGTCTCCACTCCAAGGTTGACCACCAAATGATTAAAGCAGTGCTTTTTAAGGTTATTCCCAGGAAGGACTTGCTAACTTCTTTGTTATTGATGTTTATTTGGGCAGTTTTGCCAATGTATGTTATGTCTGCAATTGAAAAACTTTTTAATCTCATATCTGAACTCATGTGTGTCTGCATATGTAAATATATCTATGTATAAGTAATTTAAAATATTAATTATATTTTAATGTCTTTTCTAATGAAGAAATGAATGTGGAAACAAGCATAAGCAAAGGTAAGTGAACACACATTTGTTTTAGCACGAAATCCATTCTCTTTCATTGGAAAATTGGAACCTTTTGGCTAAATAAATTCTGAGAAAGGTTAGGGTATTTCTTTTTTTTTTTCTTTTTTCTTTTTTTTTTTCTTTTTTTTTTTTTTTTGCCTGGGAAGGAAGGAAGGAAGCACCAGCAGGTATGATCTGTCAGTGCAAATGGAAAACAAACAAACCAAACAAAAACCCAACCAAAACACTCCCAAATGCAACAAGTTGGAAGACATTGATCTCAATGGAAAAGAAATGTTCACCGGTTGAAATCTCTCCCAGGAATGTTCCAATGTGGATTTTGTAATGGATTAATCTGAATAGAAGTTTTTAAGAAATTATCTGACAATCTGAGCATTTAGCTTTTTCAAGTAGCTTCCCAGGATTACTAGCCTGTTTGAGGTATATGCTCTCTTTTAAAATAAAATTCCAGTTATTTTAAAACAGAGCAGAACTAAAAGCACTACAGTCAGCAGATCTGATTACAAATTTAATGGCCCGATTCACCCCTACTCTCCTTCAATTTTGGAGCAGTGTGAATCCAGTGCTTTGTATCTTCTCACCCCAGACACAATCTGGACTAGCGCAGCAAGAAACAAATTTCTGGGAGCTTAAGCTTGTTCCGCTTTATTTGTGGTTTTTTCTGTGGGTTTGTTTTTGTTTTTTTTTTTGAGAGCAGCTGTCTTTGAGATTTGTGATCTTTTCTAAAAGCATGACCATAGTGATCATAAGGGCTTGGTGAATTTATTAACTCTACTTGATTAAATCCTCCTTTGACTCCATTTTGAAAGAATTAGTTCTGGAACACAGATTTAGATCTCCTCTACCATGTACTTGCCAGATGTAGGATGAACTTTATAAGCACTTTTATTGCTTTGGACCCAAACAAGAAATATCACAATATGTAGTGTAAACCACTAAACCCAGAAGTTAAAAATCATTAAGATTTCTTATTCCAGGCCCTGAACTCTGGAAATGGATTAGCCAATGGTGCCCACCTTCTCTTGCAGTCAAGGAATAAATGTGTGATCCCAGCTTGACAGGTAAGTGGTATTTTGATGGATCCATAAGTGGTTATGTGTTATCCCTGAACAGTGTTTTCTTGACTAAAAAACCTTTGTTGAAGGAGTTTGTATTTTAATCATAGCATCAGGTATTTCTGAAAAGAGATGAAGCTCTCCAATGCAAAGACATCTAAAGGCTGAACATTTGGCTCAGGAAAAATCAACCTGAACTTCTAAGTTGCGGAAATTATATTTTCATCACATCTACTTAGCTATTAGCAATGTTTTCTTTTGTTTAAATATGATGAAAAGTCTCCAATTCTTCTCTTTCCTTTTGTAAGAATTCTTTTTCCCATAGAAATCATTAAGTTAATCCTTGATAATCCAAGAGAAAAAAAAATAGAGGCAGTAGTTCAAGCTCTTCTGTGTGTGTGTTCAGCAAAATGTGAGACAACTCCACCATTAGAACTCTTGGGTTTCTATCAAAATTCTAATAAATACTATATAATGTATAAACCCATAAATGTTCACAGCATACGAATGGGCTGCCTCTAGAAATTGCATGGCTTGAGCACAGCATGATTAGATGTAAAGGAAAGGAAAGAATTTGTTAGGACATTTCAAAGCTTCTTATAGCACAGTACTCTCACCTACACTTGCCAGCCTATTACCACAGGGCTGTGGATTATTATTTAAAAGGCTTATAAAGGTTTTTATTTCTTAAAAATAATGATGAAATTAAACATTGTAATTTAAAAATATTTTTTAAATGGAGGTCTTATCTTCTCCCATTCAGTAGCAGTGCCTGACTTAGGAAAGTGAAGAGGATGTGCATGATTAGCTAATGTCAGATGATATCCTAAATGACACTGTGTAGTGATTAAAACACTACATGGATTTTTCTTAACTTATATTTTAGTGCTATATAGAGGTGTTAAAATGACAGCTCTGGAGGCTGAGGTCTCCTTTTTGCTCAGCAGTGGACAGAAGACAGGATAATCCTGTCTGCTTCATTCTGGTCGGTTTTCATCTGTCTTCTACAGCTGCTGTTTGTTTTCCAATCAGCCAAAGCTTGCAGCAAGGATTTCTCAGGACAGTTTAAAATTTAGATTAAAGGTGGAAGACCACTGGTATCTTTTTACCTAGGAATCCATTGTCTGTAGCTTTTCTTTCTTGAATTCATGGGTGAGTGATCTAGAGGCAGAGACTCATTTTCTTTGAGTCCTCATAACCTTTGACTTCATTTTTTACCTGCTTTCTAGCTGAAATTGCACCTTATAACATGCAAAGCCTTGCAGGCTGGTTTTGGTGTGAAAGTGTATTTGAGAAGAAACTGGAAACTGTTTCCACAAGTGCAAAAGCTGATTTACACTTAAACAGACTGTTTATTCAGAAAGGAAGTTTACCTAGGGTAAATGCTGGGTGGGAATGTTCTTTGAAAGGATGTTAATTGTATCTTGGTTCAAAGAACTCCTTGAAATTCCTGTAATGTAATTATGCTAAGTTAGAGGAAGTGAAAGGATTGTGTATTGGCAAAAATGCAGTTAAAATCCCAGTTGAAGACATGTGTCAGAAGTGCTATTGATGATAACATTGACACCTGCCTCAGATAACTTCAAAGTCTGTGCTCTCTGTATGAACCTAAGTTCACTGATCTCAGCTAGCAAAAGGACAAACCCAGACAGAGAAGCCTGTCTGGACCTCCAAGAAGTGCAAATGGAGCTATGCCACTTAACAACAGCACATCAAACCCCAGCTCAGCACCTTTCAGCACAGAGGATACAATGGTGCGCTCCACCAAATGAAACCCAACATCTGTAGCCCGGCAGCTGTTCATCACAGACAGAAAGGGATCTCTGTGACTATCTGCTTTCTCCATGCTGGTGGGAAAAATGAGATTGCTCTGTGTGAGTTTCTGAGGAAAGACGGAGTGCAAAAGACAAGTTCCACACTGGTTTCTAAAAGCACTGAGGTTCTAAGGTTTCTGATGTCTTCTGGGCGTGAGTTCTACCCTTGTAGGGGGCCTTATTCAGACAGAATGGTGGCAGGGTTTTTTCTGTCCCACAAAGTACTTCAGAAATAATAGAGTCTGAACTGATGAATGCACCCAGAACTTTACCTTTGGCAGTAATACTCATTGCTCTGTTAATCACCCAGGGTTTTGTAAACTGCTGTTTAACAAAAATGTTTGTGCGTTTTGAGTCTGCCTTGATAATTTCTCTCCTTTCAAACATAAATCCCATATTTTATTAATTGCTGCTCTGTTTGCCCAGTTCTGTGAAATGAGAAGTAGAGAAGAGAAGCCCTAAGATCACACACCCTTTTGGGATTTGGCTATGTATTTGAAATAATAAGACTTCTTAGCAGAAGTCCAAATAGAGGAAATATTAATTTCTATTAATTCCATTAATTTCCATTCATTTTTATGCTAACCTTTCTTTGGGATTTCAGGTTTTAAAAATAAGGTGGGAAAGGGCTAGATTTTTCTGCCTAAAGCACTTCTATTTAATTGGTTCAATGTCTGACCTGTCACAGAGGCTCTACTTTTGGATTCTGGTCCTTTGATTTCCTCCTCTGCATACAAACTGAAACATTCAGTAGTTCCCACCTCAGTCACAACCATATTTTCCTTTTTTGAGGAAGTCAGGAATTGGAAAGTTGCAGAGCAGTCTGGGTCTTCCCCAGTTTGGAGTTCCCCTGCAGGTAAGGAACATAACAATACCTAGGACTACACAGCTCTTTCAGCTTCTTTAGCAGAGATGCATCTGCCCAGACTCACAATTGTTAAGGGACCCAGGTCCTCACTCTCTAGATTCAGTCTCTTATTGCTACTCTTCTCATCACTGAGTTCTGTTCATAGCATAACTTAAAAAGTAAGAGCCATGGACTTCATATAAGGAAATAATGGAGGATTTCAGAATTTAGAATTTTGCAAGGGAACATACTCCTTCTTGGTCATATGGTCTTGCTGTGTGCACACACCAGAAGTGCTTCTGATCTGTTATTCAAATGAATTCTCAGTGACAAATTAGATATGTGTAGTGAAGAGGAGAAAAAAATATCACAAATGCTCCTATAGTGGAGCTGAAAAATATGGAATCATAGAATCAAAGTGACAAAAATAGATTAATATTTTATGTAGTGCACTGTGGTTAATCCTTGTGCTCACAGTATACTTTATTTAGAATCAGTGCAGAATTCCTCCTCTGATTTTTCTCACTGAAATTAGACTGCAATGATATGCTTCAGACTTCACAGGAGCCTAAAGGTATTTGATTTAATTTATGAGTTTTGTTCGTTGTTCATTTATTTTAATCACTGTTGGTTTTCTCTCCCTTTGACTATTTTAGATTTTTGTTGTCATACATAATTGGTTATTCCGATCTAAACAGTTCTCCACTGAATTCAGGTCCCCCAAAATTTCAAAGTACAGCAATCCCATTTGAAGATGAGTATCATTAAAAGAAACTGTGGAATTAAACTATCTCAGAAGCAGAATGTGCAGTTATAATGTTTCTATAATGTTTATAGTGGCAATTCCAATCCTCATGCTAGCACCTGAGTTTTTTATGAGATTTTGAACTTAGTGTTTTTCAATGCAATTATTATTTTAAAGAATATGTAAATATTTGTAAATGTTATAATGTGTTAGCATACTGGGTTGTTTGGGTTTCTTTGTTGTTGTTAAGTATCCAGATGCATTATTTCATAAGGTATTCAAAGTTAAACCAAAATACTTCACTGTTGTATGAAAAAAAACATTTGGATACTAAATCTTAAAAAGTTAAAGTGATTGATGCCAATTAATGCAAGAAAAAATAGAATAGCATACTCCACAATTTGAAGCTGACATCCATTTGTATTTACTTACTCAGTTATCACTTTTCAGCATGCAATTACATTAATATTTTTAGATGTTGGATGGTTTGACATTTTGTTCCAACCCTAGACAGCCAACTATGCCTTCAGATGGGTCTCTGCCAGCTAAAAATACAGTCCTAGACAAGAACATACAACCTCCACATTAATATTAGCGACACCCAGAAATAGATTGCTGAGCTGAAATAATTAACTCCAAAGGATTCGGTGGCTTGTCCATTACTACGCTAGGTCCTAGCTTGAATATATGCAAGAGTAGAAAGCTGAACAGCCTGAATATCTGAGGGGTTAATGGCTACTTTCATTGGAGAACTGTGGTCTGGTACAGTTCTGCGGCTCCTAGCAATTTAGGAGCATAGAGTACATGGGGAAAAGGGGTGTCTGGATCATGGAAACAGATTCTCACACCATGGTGCTTTCCACAGACATTGCCATAAATCAATATCTTTAGTTACTGTTTGCAACTGTTCATTTGCTTGGAGCTTACACTATCAGGGCTGCTCCAGACTGTGACTTGTACAAAGTGAGAAAACTTTTCATTTAAAAATTAATTTATCATCAGTGAGTCATAGCTTTGTCTTAAACTCTATGCTGCTGTGTCTAGTATGGCAATGCAAGTTGATTCACCTCTTCACAAAGGAGCACAGTGGAGGCTTCCCTAGCAGATGGGCAAAAAGCTTAGTCTTGCTAGAATATGGTGACTACAAAATCTTCTGGTCACTGCCAGATAATCTCTGTAATCCAACTTTTGAATCTCATGCTGCACGAGATGAATCAGTTATTTGATGACAAATAAAAGCCTTTTCTGCATTGGTGGGATTTATGATTTCAATAAGCTGAGGGATGTTTTATTCTTTTGCATACCCAACTCTGAACATGAGGCAGTGTTCTAGGTGCCTTATTCTTTGAGAGTTCAAAAACTGTAGGGGACATTGCTGCCTTGCAGAAAGGAGATTTAGAAAAAATAAAAGGTTAAGATTTTTAGTATTTTTCTCCTGTTTTGCTCCTCATATTACATTTTCAGGTTCCACACACTTAAGTCATAAAATTGCAGGAGTATAGTTTAGCCACAACAGATAGCTTGTTTTAAGTTTTTCCATCTCCCTCTGTCTCTGCTTAAACTATTACTCCTGAGATAGGTGAACCTGTATTTGTTGTGCCAATATTGGTGAACCAGCAGTGACAATATTTTTGTACTCTACACACAGAAAGTAATGTCCTGTGAGCAGAGGATACTTTTGGGAATACTTCAGCCCTGGCAGTCAAAGGTTTCACCAACACTGCTTCACTGAGGACAGAAAATTCAACAGTAGCTGAATTGTGGAGTTCCCAGAAGACCATTTTATTCTGAATCTAAGGTGTGAGAACTTTTGCTTCTAAATCACTGTGCCATGTAGTTAGAGCAAAAGATGTTTTAAAAGCAGAATTTACTTATCTGGATTCCATGAATTTCTCTTCCACTGTTTATAATAGACTTATCTTGTGCTCAGAAAAATGTGAAAAAGCCTTTTACAGAGAAAGTAGTAGAAAGACATTTTATGTTCCTTTTTACTGATTACTTTTCCTTGATGCTAGGAAACAATTATTTTAAGTGGATTACTTCCAACGAATAACTTAATTTGATAATAAAACAAATACTACTTTCCCATTTATTGATGAATCAAGCAAGGTAATTGGATTTAATACTTCTGAATCTATGAGTAATCCTGTTTCCAAATCACATATGTGTTTCCTCCTCTGCTTTTATGTTTGTCAGGAGATGACAATTATTTAGTCATTCTCTTTCAGACAGATTTTTTTTTTTTTTAATCTGGACAACAACAGTTTTATGCACAATTTCTGAGCTCAAAATAGAGCTAATTTACACTTAACACAATATACATCCTTGGTAGAGAAAAGTGAGTTTCAGTCATTCTGAGCAGCTAAAAATACCAGTTAATTAAAACATATCATGCATTAATATCTACAGTATGCACACTAATTGGGGAATAGATATAACATTGTTATGATGCTGTTTGGTACTATTGAATGTCTGGGTCCTGGAAGCTGAGAGGCCCTTGGGACATATATCCCAGGATATATGACATACATGCCAGGCTGGAATGTAGGAAATGCCTTTTCTAGGCATATACAGCTAATCTGGGGAGTAGCCATGCTGAGTGTTATTGACATTTCTCCTTCCTCTGCTTTTCAGCTTTATACTACAAATCCACCATGCTGAGGCTTTAGAAGATTATAGATTATTTTAGACATTATAAAATAGTGGAAGATTTTTCAACTAACTGAATTAGTCAAATATTCCTAATTTAGTAGTTAATCTAGCAGCATTTAAGAATTCCTTTCACTTGGAGGTCTCACATCAGTTTGCAAATATTAAGTAAACTTCTTAGAATCTGTACTTAAATTCTTAATTTGTTTTACGGGGATTGTTTGCATCTATAATGGTCTACCAGTATAGTTATACCAATTGACACCAGCAGGTTTCTGAAGTGGAAATGCATCTTACATTAGAAAAACTGTTCCTCTTTCAGTAGAAAATAAAATCTGGTTTTGAGGAGCTAAGTCTCCATGTTCTGGTTTAAAGTGTGATTTCTTTTTATACTCCTCTTCCACTCAGTAATGCTAGCACAACTTCTAAGAGCAGATCAAATCATGAGCTGGAAATGCTAAAGAAACTCATTCAAACCCAGATTATTTTCTTTTGTAAAGGAAAAGCGACCCTTGTGCTCGAAATACATTACGTATTGATGGGATTCATTGATCAGCATAGGCCTTTGGTCTCCTTGATAAAGATGGAAATCTGTTCCATTCCCCAGCTCCATCACCTCTTCTCTCTGCATCAGTGTTGTACTCTTGCCTGATAAAGAGTTTCTTAAAAAGGGACTTCCAGAGCTGAACAAACCCATCTCTTGAATTGAAGAGCCAGCTTCTGTCATGTGGAACCATAACAAAATTGCATCTGCTGCAAAACACACTCTTCTGTTAGATAACGTGGTTTAACTATGCATCTGATAATATTTAGACATTTCTCCTGTCATGTTTTTTAATGGTGGTTAGCAGTGAAGGATAATAATTCCCTTGGGAGTTTCCAGGCTACCAAGCCCCATCGTGGTTTTCAGTTGAAACATTTCAATCCAGGTTTCCCATTTGTAGATGTAATTTGAAGCCAGTGCTGCACTTTCATTTTTTTTCCAAATGAGAACAGAATGTGATGTTTGAACTGAAATACTTTATTGGGTGGAATAGAAGAAGGGAGAAGGAAAGACATCTTACTTGATATCAGAAACATGCTATGGGCTTTGTGGCACCATGGCAAAATTTGCTCCTACTGAGTCCACTGAAAGACCCAAAGCCTGTATCCACATTTCCCTGATTCTTACCACATTTTTCTCTGTGCTTCCTTCTATGAATTGACAGAAAAAGACAGATCTTTTGGACTAATGTAATATACCCTTTCCTCCTCAGTTGCTTCTGTCTCCCCTCATTGCTCCCAGAAAGGGAGGGACTATTACAGACTATCGTAGGGCTTTCTCACATCACTTCTAACGCATTCCTTGCCTCCGGTCACCCAGGAAGAATCTGCTGTGTTTGATTTCTGTCTCAGGTCACTTGTCTCACAGCGACGTGCCAGGTCAGTGCCAGTGAATTGTCCTGCATGGCAGAGCTTTGGTATACAGGCTTGTGGGTCAGGTTTCACACGCTCAAAAGGAGTCAGTGTAAAGACAAAGAGACACAGCGTGTGTTTCAGTGCCAGTAATGAATAAACTACCACATCAACTACACAGCATGAACATATTTATCCAGCTGTTTTTATAAATTATTTTCATTAATTATGGTTGTTTTTATTACTTGACACAAACAACGACTTTTTTTTTTTAAGTGGCTGTTTTATTAATCCATTATTCTTCTGAAGAATAATATCTGCCCTCCTCTCCCTGCCTTTAACTGGCCAAAGATACATCACTTTCAAAAATAAATCTCAAAATGCAGCCCTGCAAACTACTGTTCTTTGAGTCATCACTTATGAAAGAAGATACCTTTTTCTTCTGTCCACCATGAATTAAAATAAAATTGCTTATAATCTATCTTTTAAAACCCTGTGGTCAAATTTATGCCTGGCATCACAGTGCAAGAAACAGCATAACTGCACAGTGGATGAACTCAGTCTCAAGAGTTTAGTTGTGCTTTGAAAGCTTTTTGATGTATTGTTGTACTTTATTTATGTTTTTAAAATTTTTAATTTTGTTTTGCTTTTTTACTACTAAGGCTGTTTAGGAGCTGTGTTAGCAACCTGAACTTTGTAAAACTGACTCTAACTGGAGCAGAACCCTAATAAAGATAAAGGAATTTTTGCCTTTGTGTCAAAGATTACAGTGCAAAACCAGCAGAAAATGGTTATTTTTCAGATACGGATTTTGAGAGAATAGAAATACTTCTGCATTTTTTGATTACAGAGAAGCTTTTTGAATTCAGACAAATGCATTTCACACAATTCATTTCAGGGCTGATTCATTTTATCTGTGTGTCTCCTGTGCCAAATGGAAACATTAGGCCTCTTTAAAAAATGATGGGGGATAATAAATGCTCTAGGCATTTGTTTTGCTGAAATGAAGTAATGGCAGGGAAGCATATGGTGAAATATATTTTTAATTACTTTTCAACAATGTTAAATGTTTTCTTCTTATTTTCATATTTAATGTTCTTGATCAAGCTTGCTAAATAGGCAGCTCTTATGGAAAACACCACTTTGTGCAATAACACATGACTAATTTTATGGGCAGTACTGTATATCCCCGTTCTACAGTATAAGCTGTAGAATTTTGTTTTATGATGCTTTGTGCCATCCAAGGAAGCTGGTATTGTGAGGGGGGCTGTTTTGTTCCTGTTTCATTTTTTCCCCACTAAGCCCATAACTCTCAATACCGTTATTGAGAGGGTTTTTTTTTCTTATATTTTTGTTTGTGCATGCAGAGCAGGAAATATGATTCTCTTCTGTTAGACTAAACAAAAGGAAATCCACCTGAGACTGAGAGGAGACACCAGTCTCCCTTTTAACAGCTTCACTTCTAAATCACCCTTCCATCCCTTCCTTCATCTCCCTCCCTGCAGCACAGGTTCCACACTAAAGCAAAGTGAACAAAGGACACCTGTTCCCAGCCCTACTAAAGAGGGAAAAGCTGCTAGTGCCTCAAGGCTAAAGCTGAGCTGAAAGTATTATGGCTACAGGTGGTGTCCAGGCTGTAGATTTACCTGCACAAGGGAAATATGAGCCTATTGCACAATTCCAGTAAATAACAGCTGAAGAGTAAGTGACATCACAGGAGGGTGGCAGGGGGAAACCAAGGCACAACCATCACTACTTGTCTGTACGTATATGTCACCTTTTTCGGATGTACACAAAGGATCTTTCAATACAAAATATAAAGACAAAGTAAGAAAACCTGGCAATTTGCTGTCAACACTTACAGCAGGCGACCACATTCTCCCCTCACTTGTTACAGATTGGCACAAATTCATTCTCTGAAGATGTCACGGTCATCACTGGTATGAGCGGAGGAATACTTGAGACATTCATCTTCTTCCAGCACACCCTGGAGATCAACAGTCCCAGGCTATTTCAGACCACTGAGTCCTTCCCAGAGATGAGAACTCCTCACAGAGACTTCTCTGTAACCACCAACCTCTTTTTCAGCTTGAGTGGCTTTTCTTCCTGCAGCCATAGCAGTGTGGCAGAAAGGACTTAGGATGGCTCTCTCACATGTCCAGCACTTCCTTTATCACTGCTAGTGATTCAGAGGATTAAATCAGCGGGCTATAAAGCAACAGATGGGGATTTCATTCATTCTCTGTGCTTTGAAAACCAACTCTGAGGAATAGATCCATTGTTATTATTGTGACCTTCAGTATGCTGCATTTCAGTTTGAGGAGGGAGGGAGATGTCTATGGGTCTGAGGCATTGGCCACCACTGTGGAGAGAAACACTCTGCTGATAGCTTATCCACATTATTCAAGAAAAAAGACCAGCTTGTAGCAAAGGTCAGTGCACTGAACATGTAAAAGATACTCCTTTTTCTCCATCCCTTCCCCTTCTCACTGGGAACCAGGGCAGAGGAGCAGAAGTAGATGGGGTGGGAGTAGGAGAAGTGAAGCCCAATATTTCTCTTGTGATAAGCTGCTGACAACTCAGACCTGCCCCTGGTACTGGGAAAAAAGCCAACAAGCAAACAGAAAAGAGAAACACAAAGTTGCCTGAGGGAGGCAAGGCCATGGCAGTGGGTGGCCTGTCTCCCACGCTGCCTGAAGCTGCAGAGGAGGAACCAGCCAGTTCTGGGACAGCTGGTGTGACTTTTGGGACACAC